GGCCCTATGGAGTCTCTAGTGAACTGAACAAATTACTGATGTAAGTCAGATACAAAGTCATAAGGAGAAAAATCCAAGTAAATCTTGACTCACAGTTCAAAATAGGAGATAGTTCCGTTCCGTATTCCGTTGAACCACCACACCAAGAATAGTTCTATCTTCCTGGTATTCCAGATCTCCGGTGATTGAAATATCAAAATTGTCAATTGAAAAAGAGCAGTTTACAAGTGCCACAGACCCATCATAGTGGTTGAAAATTATCTACTCCGATGATCGAAGACCATGAATAAATGGTTTGCTGTAGGACATATAAACCTTCAAAATTTGATCTTTGCTAATGCTCTTTCCTCGTGCATCCCGTTCAACATCATCACACACAACAATTCACCAGAGTTAGAGCTTGACGTTCGCTCCCATGCAACCGCGGAGGAAGAAGGCTACAGTGAAGGAAATGACGAAATAGAGGTTTTGGACCTGTGGCAGAGAACCCAATGTCCTTACAGGCGTTACAACTTACGCGATATCTGCAAGTTCCGAAACAATTGAGATACACCCATCCAAGAATTTTGCTGGAGAAACAATGCATCATTATGACCGACTCAACATCATTCGCAAATTTAATGCAACACAAGTATAGCATACAAAGTCATGCGAGGGCGTGATGCTAGGTGTCTATTGGACTTAAGATACGAACAGACGAACGGAGTGATGCTAGGTGTCTATTGGACTTAAGATACGGACAAGACGAACGGAAAGGATCCCATGCAGGAGGTTGCGAAGATAATACAGCTCCCAAAATACCAAGACTACCTTCATTTTGCGTTAGTACGTCATGTTTTGTCTTCCACAAACCTTCCTCTGCCAAAGGTTTTGAACAGAAAATACAGCTTTCTTGGTAGATTATAGCTTCGCATACGTAATACACTTCAAAACTCGAACCATCTGTTCAAATGAACCCCGACAGTTATCAGGTACTCGTTGGCAGATTATTTTTTTACGTGCCCATCAAAACCAGCTAGCACCTGCTATGCAATAAAGACGTCGATGATCAAATAACTGAGGATAATTGAGGGTTTCAGGCCGAAGGATGCAAGTCTCGCAAGTCTCTTTACGGTTGTTTTTTAGACGTGGCCCTCAAGCTTTAGTAATTGTTAGTTATAACGCCCAGTGTGACGCAAGTTGAACAGTATGGTTTGCGCTTTTTTGAAGCGTTCAACAACTTTCTCTTTTGTGCGGCTGTCACGACATGCAGACCCCAAAAGAACAAGCCCCGCATTATAAAGTCTGAAAGTGTTTACTGTTGGCCACGTACGTGTAGAAGATCCAGCCACTCCACGGAGTCATAGGTTTCTTTGATCATAAGAAAACACATTTCAGTTGGCTAGCGACATGTATGACACTGCTTGAGCATCTGATATAATGCGAAGATGTAGCCAATACCCTACTTAATTGATCACGAACTTGCCGTGTCCTCGCAGACTCGCACCTCGTATAACAAAATTAATACTAATAAAACTAGTAAACAAGTCGACAGTACTGTAGAGATTACACTTCTGTGGTTGAAGCAGCCGCCCTGGGTGCTCTTTTTGTGTAAAAACGAAATAAAGGGTTATACCGAGATTGTAGAACCGCCTCAATCCAAGACACACAAGCTTACGGCCAATTGTACAAAGCTAAAATAGAAGCACATTCTGACCAACAGCACCTCACTGCAAAAAACCATACTGATGCCTCAGGAGGTGATGCGTGGTATCCAATCAAAAAAAGACAACACAGCTTAGTTAGCTAGTACTGGCTTTCGAATTGCACTCATAATTCTTTGTTTGACCTCTCTGGCCCGTTTCTTCATTGCTGGTCCCCTTTTCACTACGAACTATTGCCCTTGGTAGGTCCTTACACTTTTTGTGCCCAAGTTGATAGGAATGCAATTCTGTAATAGTGCAATCTGACAGATTTTTGCTGTCAACACTGTATTTACTTACCAAAAAGCCAAAGTTATTGATTTCTCCGATTTCTTATATTTTGATTACCACTCTGGACTCAGTTGTACCAATTGTTGTCTCTTTTTCTGTCTGCTGATCCGCCCATGAATGATGTAGTACCCGGAGACTGGTCAACATTCCTGTTTTCCTTTTGGTTCAACTGTGACTGTCTTGTCCTTTATCTCACAGGAATGTTTAAACCGTAAATCCCCTGGTTCTATGAAACTTGCTTGCCATACTTTTGCCTATGTTCCTGATGTGCTTCTTATTTTTGAATAAATTTCCCGATATTTTAGGCATGTGCTGATGGGACCAGCGACATTGAGGCGACATGTGGGAGTTACTTAGCAACTCTAAAGAGAAATAAACAATCAAGCTTATTGTGCCAATATCTTTGTCTTTTAAGATTTATCAGTTGAATTCCCTACTTAGTGGATGAACCTCACATTCCAGCTGCCTCCCTGATGCTCAGTTCTTGGACCTGATCAACTCGCCTTGATTTTCCGTTATTTCACGCCCAAGTGTATCCCACTGAGGACGTGTGAATTGTAAAATCAAGTATACTAGCCAAAACTCTTTTCTGTACTATCTTTTTCAACGCCCAAGAAACTCAGGTCTTTCCTCGGAACCTGTGTGATCCGTGTGTGCACCTTCACATCACTACGTATGGTTACTTCGAGACGATATCCAGCTTCACCGAGAGGGAACAGCGTTCCCTCTAGCGCTGTCAAGTTTTACTCCAAGGAAAACACCATACTTATATCTTTTATGGACATTCTGTTGTTGGTTTGTGTGGAAAGTGCTGTCAGATTGATGACCTGAGTGCACCGGTATCAGAACCTGAGTCCCAAACAGGTAAATGCGGCATACGATTTACAAGATACACAGTAGGCTTTACCAATTTTGTTCACACCTTGCACCCACTGGCTTATGGCTATATTTTCTTACTGTTTTATTAGCATGCTGTTTAACTGTTCTGAGCCTCAACGGGGAACTGTCATCGTGGGTATTTCTTTAGTAATTTTAGCTTGGGTTGTTTAACTCAAAGAGACATTCAGAACATCCCTAATGGTATGGTCTTTAACAGATCAATATGAGAAATTGATGATTGTGTGTGAGGAAGTTTGTTTATTTTTAATTCAGCTTTTTTCCTGTCAGCAGTGTGCATCTCACAAAACTCAGAGAGTTTTACACGCACGGCATTACGGCCAGTAGTTAAACAATTAAACATTCGGCCACAAGAAGCGAAATAGCCATGCGATTTGCTCTCATTTAGGCAGAATATGATGCCACTCATCCTTTGGTCACGAAAAGCGCATCACGTTGTCACGTTCCGGACTCTCAATAAGGACGAAACGGCTGTATAGTGCTTTTAGACAGGTCTTAAGCGCCCCTGTCACTATCTGATCGAGACAACCTGACGGTTGGATCAATTGATCAGGAGAGTCACAAATTTGACCTTCAAAAATCCCGGCTGTTGATACGTTTGCCCAGCGCGTGCTTTTCAGAGGAGGGCAACATGCTGGCCTCATTTGTGGAATGTCATGGGTTCAAATCCTAACACGAACAAGATTATTCTGGTGAAAACGCAGATCGAGTCCAGTGGTTGCATGCTGGAACGAAAAGAGAAATGTTCAAACGAGAGTAAACCCAGCGAAAAATCTCGCATCTGTCCAAAAGTAACTATTTGACTGTTCAAAAACGACTGAAAAGAATGAAGAAGGAACAAAATCCTTTTGTTAATCATTTTGAAAAACGTGTTTCAAGGGAGTACTCACAATTTGAGCATGTTGTTGTAAGATCCTAACTGTGGCTAACTGTCAACTTGTCAGTAAGTTAACTGTTTTGTTCTAATCCAGAGTGTTGAGGCACTATAATCATTATATATGCGTTCCGCTCTATTCTACGCCTCGAAGGAAATTGTGGTGAGTCATACGTGATGCGAGCTGTATGTATGTGGAACAAATCGTGGGCCACTAAAAATCATTCTTAGAAAAACTATACTCACCATCTGGTGTTCAGAGAATGGGGGAAAAACTCCTGTCGGGTGATGGTCTTCCAGTTTTTCAGCTGAGTCCTACTAACTGGACCCAATTTGAACCAATAATTTTTTATGCTGAACATACCTCAAAGTGACTGTAATAGTCACTCCTGATTGGTGCATAACGAACACTCCTCATTGGTTTTCTCACTTTCGGACCGGCCCAGCTCTGACGGGCTACACTGGTGGGACGAAATACTCGCTTCCTATCACACTGGTGTTTCATCCTTTATCTCTTCAATCTGAGTTGTAGCTTACAGTTTTTTTTTGAGTTGAAAATCACAACGTCCTTTTTGTGTGCCAACTTGGTGAGTTGCAACGTGAGTTGGTTTAGAAAAACCTTTCTTCGGTGATTTCACAAGATTCTTACTATCTAATCCACAACACCAAGGTGACATGAGGTAATGTGTTTATTTGAAAAGATTATGAACTTCAAGGAGGTCCATTTTTTCTTTCTTTTCACCCAGCAACCGACAGACGATGATCCTGATGAAGGCATCCGGGATTTGGTTGATATAGTATTTAAACGCCTGGTAAGTGTTTTTGAATTGAAGGTGTGCAAAGGTATAACGGCTGAAAGAAGCTATCTACCATTCCAACGAAGCATAAAACCCGGACTGTACGAAGTCAACTGTAACTCTAAACAGCCCACTTATCTTCAACTCTGGGTAAAAGAGGGGCAAATAACTGTTCGCTGTTGAGTTCATATGACAAGGAACGATCTCATAAAGTAATTATCAATCGTTATATGCTGCGTTGTGAATGCCCAATGTGATGAATGCTAAGCACAAGATTTATATCGCCGTCGTCCGGGAGTGAGGTAGTCGATGGAACGTAAATGGCCGTCCGAACACGCAGACGCTGTATCGTGGTAAATGATAGGTGGACTATATGGAGCCCACTATCTCTCCTGACTTCTACTTCAGTGCTGATGGGCCACTGAAAATGTAAACGGTCACAACCGCTTTGCTGACCGTAGCTAGTTTTACTTTGTCAAGAGAACAGTCTCAACGATTTGGATGCCAGATTCTTTAGTGTAGAAACATAACTGGATAAACCCCTTTCAGTTGATCCGTTTCGGAAGCGCTATGCGCTTCTTTACTGCTTAGTGGTTGTAACCTGGCATTCGTTGCCGGATTTGCTTGTCATATCGACGGACCCCGTACACAATGGGCAATGTCATATTTGGTTGCGCAGAGTTATGCGTGCAAACACCTGTATGCCATTTAAGCGGTGTAAATACAAAAAAGATCGGAGGCAATCCCAAAGTCATCGGTACACCCAATCGTTGTCCTGTAATCATCACCTGAGGTGGGGACAAACAGATGTTTGAAAGAAAGCTACTCACATGGTTGCTGAAAACTCTTCGACAGTCCACTGCCAATTTCGTCATTCTGAGAGTTCATCAGGTGGGTGCAGTTCTCAAGTTTCAGTCAACTTGATGTTTTGCTCGAACCAAAATTGTACGAAGTTCGTGAGGTACACTCATTTGCACATGAGTAAATGAGTGACACTTTCAGCACCAGCATACTGGTGATGTTACCTCGACTGGTGATGAAACATTTGCAACCGAAATGCCCAGCTAGGCGAACAAACTAGGTAGTTTGCATGGTTCATACTGGCTTGCTACTTCTGAAGATCCCCTTGCAGTCAGTGATCAACTTGACAGACAGGGGGATTTGTACCTTTCTGGACAGACGCGCCGAACCTTTTGATGTAACCTTAAATCTTTAGATGGATGAACCTCATCTGGGCATCCGACATATTAATATTACACAGCTATATTGACCTTTGTGAGGGCAAATTCCTAACCACCGATGCTTCAGAGGCGTAACATGCGAATATGCACCCTGTGTAAGAAGATTGGAGAGCTTCTAACTCAAACAATGTACAGTCGAACCCTTTTCTCAGCTCTCTCTCTCTCTCTTTCTCTCTTAGGATATGGATCGAGACGGTAGAGTAATCTTTCAAGATTTCCTGACGGCCGTACAGGATGATCCGCTTCTGTTGGAAATACTGGGCCAATGCTTCCCCGAGGAAAAAGTAAGTTTTGTTTTGCTTAGTAGGTCATATCTTTCAAACTGCTTCGTCTTTTATGCAACACAGGGTCAGCTTGTTCACAAACTGCAAGCTCTCATTTGCACAGATTCTGTGAGGTTTTCTTGGATCATTGTATATATCATCCCGGTTAAGGAAACAGCATGGATCCCTGGCACAGAAGGTTGAGATGATTGTCCCTGATGTCCAAAGCGGATGAATTCTTAGCTTTAGAGGGCTTCGCAAAATCAAAAGACTACTACAAATTTGTTCAACAGCTTTTATTAAATACTGACAAGCAGAATTGTAGAACACCGGATGCGGAGCAGCCTGACGCGATGGCTTTCTCAAATTTCAGAATTAATTCCAGAATTCCCATCAGAGAGCACTCCTCGTAGGTTATGGGCATTTGATTATATGAGTTAGGAGTAGCTGGCCCTTGTCTGCTTGAATAATTTTGTCGTATGGTTCATAGAATTCTGTATCTGTGCACGCATCGTTTCCGAGGTTATGGGCATTTGATTATATGAGTTAGAGGTAGCTGGCACTTGTGTGCTTGAATAATTTTGTCGTATGGTCCATAGAATTCTGTATCTGTGCACATATCGTTTCCCAAACAAGGGACGTGTGTCACTCCTCAAATGAGCTCCACCGCCGAACGAATTGCAAGCTGTTCCGAGGTGGAATTCAAATAATTTTTGGATAAACAGCCTTCACGCTTCATCCTTCCAGTACCCAAACAGGACGAAATTAAATCGGTTGTGTTGCATTTTTGTCATACTGCTTATGTCCAAGTGTTTTTGTTGAGGAGGGCCCTGTGGCCCTTACAGTTCCGAGTATCTCGAATTCAACAAAGATTTAAAAAAAAATATCTTTGATATTTGCGAATCCCACTGGTCTGTCTCAAACTCAACAAGAGTTGGTCCGTTTCCAAACCGCCTGTTATTTTCCCGCTATTCTTAACTACTAATAACTATGTAAGTAACAAGAATATTATCCGAAATTTGCTGGAATGTTCATTACCCTACCTTGTCGATCGGATCGGACAGACGATGGTGACATCCAGTAGCGTGTCAGATTCCATAAGAGGTTAACTCAGAGACAGGGATAATTCTGCTGTACTCGACAAATGTCTGACAGTTTCAGTACCGATTCCTCCACTACTGCAGCATTTTCAGACTATACTCGACTGATATGAAGCTTTCACTCTGAAGGGAAGAAGTAGGACCGATCAAACAAAATAGGGAGTATGCTTCAGCAAAGGCTCCCCCTAATGGATGAGGTTTTTTTTATTTAAGTTGTCTAGCTAGAGCCATCTGCACGTTTGGAATCTGTAATAAATTACTGCCACTGATCAGTTGTTCGAGGCTTCTTCGAAAATTTGCCTTATTGGCAACCTTTCGTTTGTTTCACTCTAACACCAAGTAGTACTCGAATCGCTGTTTGGTCAAGCATGACAAGCCGTTCGCTTAGCTTTGCAGTTTTGGTGCGAATACTCTTTCATCAGCTTAGGCTACCTCATCAGGATGTTTTTTTGAAGCGGAGTGGTTTATCGCTGAATATCAAGCTACGGTACGGGCTGTTTTGTGGTATGTCTGTGAAACTTGGCCTATTCGAGCAGCGGAACTGAGACGTCTTCAGGTGTTCGACAATCGTGGTCTCAGAACCATAGCTCGTGTTGGTTGGTGTCGGCGAGTCCGTAAGGAGGCAGTTAGAGGCGAGTTTTCGGTTGTGCGACGGGTACTTCCATTGAAGAATGTGCTCAGCACCAGAAGCTGCTTTGGTTGGGACATGTGCCGCGTATGCAGAACCATCGTTTGCCGAAGAGAGTGAGTGCTGTTTTCCATGCCAAATTCAGGGTGGCGTAAACAGAGAGGTGGCCAACCCTTGACTTGGCAGAGGAGTATGAAGGGGATCA